TCACCAATATAGCCCGAGCTTGCGAGGGCTATATTACGACAGACCGAAGGCATATATTTAGCAGTTATGTCCCTATCATTGAATATATGCCTGAGGTCTGTCACCAATATAGCCCGAGCTTGCGAGGGTTATATTACGACAGACCGAAGGCATATATTCAATGATACGGACATAACTGTTGTATTACATACTTTTATATCATGGCTACGTTATATCAATGACGCCACGTGTCTGTGTGCGAGTGAAATTAGGAAGAAATGAAACATGACGTCCCGATGACGTCATAAGATTGTCATGGTAAAAAGTTTGACGGCAATACAGGAATATATAGCCGACCTTCAGCTCCATTGACTTCAATACAAATGCTTCGCTGGGTATGTAATACAGTGAAATATTGGACCTTCGGTCCAATATTTCACTATATGGCCCTTAGAAATGACGTTATTGTACTATTATCTCTAGGTTTATGGATTTTCAGTATAACATTTTTACCATTATGTCATCATACAATCCATAAACACCTTTCATAGCTGATGTCACATTTGTTCTGATTTTCAATACCTGCACCCAGCTGATAAGAATTTTTTCAAAATTGCTTTCAGTTTTGTTGAAGATGGAGCAAATATGACCATGGCATAATTAAGAGTCAGAATCAGACAGTGCAGTTGGTATTCCAATTAACAAGAATCCCAATGTAAAATTATCAAGGGGACCAACATTATCATCACTAAATGACATAGAAGTCTGCTGGGTGTTTGGTCCGTCTGAAGGATTTCCCAAATGGGGTGACTTTTGTGTTTGGATTGGTTGTGGTGATTGCATACAGCCACCCTGAATGCCTTCCTCTCTGGACGGGCCTGGGTCAGAAACAGCTATGCTTGGTTGAAGATCACTGTATTTTTGATCAGGGATTATTCTCACCTGTATAAAACTGACCTTAGATGTAGGTTACTCTTATCAGATTATACATGATATTCTTGCTTGTACAGGGTTTATTCCTTAGGGGTATAGTATGGGGAAGCATCTGTTTCTTATATCAACCCTCTAGCTCCAGTCTAGTACCCCTCCATCTATATACACTTCTTTTAAATGCTGTGCTGTTAAAAACAAGACTATTGCCTGCTGAATTTGCAAGATTGTCAAACAAGAAATATGGAAAGTGAACTAGTAAATGCAAGTAAATGTTCTTGTATGTTTCATCCTGCATTAAAACTATACCTTCTATTCCCTCTTGTGTGATAGAGAGGTAACATGGGGAGAGGTGTATAAACATTGTCTATTCTTGGCATAACCTGCAAGGGCCTTATGCAAGATTACTGCAATTGTTTCATTTCTGGCCTCTTTGCCATTCCTGTAGAGTGAGACAGGCAGTGGCTGTTCCTCAGCTGGCTCCAAACCATCAGAGAGGAAGTATCCCAGATGAGTGTTATATATTGCCTTATGCGAAGAGAATCTTTGAATGGTTCTAATAGGGAGTCATCGGCTCCATCTCTGATCACATCTTCATCATGGGAATTAAGTTTGTTATGAATTATTGTCAAATCAGGGGAATCTCTGATTATACTCTGATAAGAAAATGTAGTATCACACCAGGAATATTTTGATAGGGCACAAGTGAAAACATAAATAAGTTACCTATGGTGCATCTTTGGCTCAAATCTCACTAAACCTTCCATGCATTAGATCACTTTCCTTTAGTACAGTAAAACCAATCTAGACTGAACCATGTTGTGGCCAGCTAGTTTTCTTGTAACATATAGAAGTCAATAGGGCATCCAAATAGGACCAACATGTGTAATAAGGGCATTTACCATATTCAGTACTTTAGTATAAATTGACATAACATCCTAAAACCTTGAGTATTATAATCCTCAAAAAAGGAATCCCAAATCTTTCTTAACACTTTTCAGTAATAAATATCTTAGATGAAGACTCGTTACCAGCTAATTCCCTTTTCTTTGATTATAGTCTTCTATTTGCTGACATATACAACTAGATCTTCTGCAATGATTACCATGATGCATTTCTCATAACCAAATATGATTGGCGAATATAGGTAAAACGTACCTTTGAAATAAATGCACTGTATTTCTATAACTGGCACATGATTATAAATAGATATATAGAGACATGTAAATCATAAACATCTAAGACAGTATCAACCCTTCATTAAAAATGATGAAGTAATCAGGAAAGTGGATTGAAGAAATGTTACAAATGTACTATATCTAGTAATAACTAAATAACTTAATTTAGTTGATATAGAACACCTTTATTTTAAATTTTCAGTATCAATATGTTTACAGTATACAATTATTGACCTCTCCAGAGGTTTACTGTCAAAATTATATCCCGAGACTGTAAACCGAGACCTACGGTCTCGGTTTACAGTCTCGGGATATAATTTTGACAGTTAACCAAATGGAGAGGTCTATAATTGTTTTGTTAGTCCGAAGAATATCTTAGATTTTTCTGACCCTTGAAGTTGACTTGAAGTTGGATCCAGACCCTCGAGACGTTCATGTTGTAAGTTCACTCAATGGAGTCAAATTACTCTCCTGGGCGAAGTCCACTCAAAGCTTTGTACAAAGTTTTAGATTTTTCTTCGTATTTTGACTGTCTTTACTCTCTAAGAGACTAATAATATCCTCATCTTCAACATTTTTGAAACGGCTAGTGCTAGCGGCGGCCATTTTATCGTCTGATAATGACGTCATTTTAGTGGAATGCTGGGAATATTATTCACTGGCAATGCATTGCGCGGTGTACAGTTAAAATTATTCACCGCTCGTTGACCAATCAAAATCGAGTATTTCAACTGAGGTACTAACAATACAAATGATACCATAAAATTAATATTTTCTGAGGCTCACCCGTGTAGTTTCCCCTAATACTGTATCTCTAAAGGTAAAGGTGGGTCACGATTTAATGTTTGAAAATATTTGTCAATCGAAGTTTATTTCACTTGGCAGTGTTGAAAAATCAAACAGCAGGATTTGGCTTGATACTTACAAAAGCAACAATTTGTGGATTTATATATTATATCCTAAACTAAATAGACAACAATGGCGGAAGTGGATTAATTCAACCAAATACTCAAATATATAAAAAAAGGCACCCTCTTCATGTAGTTAGCTAGGTAGGTGAACTGGCGAAGGTCAAACTGGAACTTAGACTTAAATTAGTAAGTAAATTGAAACTTGCAAAACTCATCATAGTCGTTTAACATTGATATTGGTTATTTATATTTTTGTAAACTGTGAATATTGAACTTTGAAATGATTTGTTCGATTTCAAATATTTGATTGACATTAAATGGTTATTTTGACATAAAGAAATATGTGCTTACTGACTATACATGTGTTTCAACATGAAAGATGTTAGGTTGGGGTATCTGAGTACATAGATAGAGTCAGCTAAAGATAGGGGCATCTGGTTTGAGGTAAGATACAAGAGAGGTTGTTAGGAAATTAGATGCCATGTTATGAATGGAGTAGGTGAGGAAAGGAGGTTTCCAATCCAGGTAAAGTAGGTTACTGTAGAAGAACTGAATGGTTGGATGGGAGAAAAAGTGAATTGGGATGACTACCGATTTGAATAATACTGCTTTCATTTTAAAGGTCGGATATGAATATATTCATCAATTTTACTTACTTTGAAAGACAGGATCTAAATTTCAGGATATGCAATTGTATATTTGGGATATAAGGTTTGAATGGCTTCAAAGGTGAGAAGAATAGATGGATACAAAAGGATTCTATGGATATATTGAATTGTGGAAATAGGATATTCAGAGAAGATCTTGATTGAAATCTAACCATAATTCAAAGGAATGTGTACACCTACATACACCATAATTGCTGTCAACCTCCATATATATTTCTCCTCTAATCTTTCTAAGACAAAAAAAGAGATAGATGTGATGGCTACCACAGACCTCACTATGATCAGCTTCTTGTATCTTTGGAATTCAATGCAAATTCCTTATTGAGCTCTCATTGTCTGTATTTTAGTACATATTAGTTACTGTACTGGTACAAGTGAAGAATGTCACTGAAGACAAATATCATTTTTGCGATGACAATATAAATGGGATTGGTGCAACCATGTTGACCATGTTAGTATAAAGGTTAACCTGGGGCATTGTCATTTGACCAGGCATTGACCATGCATCTATATTGTCACAGCTTGATACATGATAATGTACATGTATATGAACATGTGTTCATCATGGCAACAATATGGGTAAACCTGTATGTAGGGGGAGGGGCGGGTTAGTGTGGGAAATAAAGTTTAGATTAAGACAATTAACAGTTAAGGCAGGTAACTGTTAAAGTCAATGGGCAAGTAAAACCAGCAGAAAAACAAGATATAAAAACTATAAAGAACTACACAGATTTCAATTCAATATTTCAAAAGTTAGTGGTTTAGAAATGACAGATAACTTCCATTAGTGAACTACTAATGTACACTTTTTGGCATTGATGACCCGGTAATTAGAAAATTATGTTTATTAGAACAAAGGGACAAGTCACTCGTTAGATTTATGTTTTACAGGATAACAAGTGCATAGTGTCTCAGTTCAAAATCACAGTCCTCTATCCATGGTTCAGGTCTAATCTTAATTAATGACTATTTTGACATTGAGCTCTGTGTCGATAATTGAATTATTTAATTAATAAAGACAGGACAGTTGTGAATGTTCCACTTGGGTATTATATAAAACAACTGCTGTGTTATTTAAAACAATAGGAAGGTTGAACTCTTAATTAGCGTAGCTGTCATTAGCAGTTGTTCAGCTCATCAGGCATAGGAAGAATATAGAATTGTTTTTATACTGTATATAGTAATATGGTGATTACTTTACTGAACTTGAAATACTTGATTTATAGTAGTTTACTGTGGTTATTTGTTTTTATGAATATGTACTTTTAATGACTCATAATCAAAATCATATTCATTGTATGAAGTTTTTAATTTCTGGAATCGTTTGTTTTCAGATTTGATGGCCTGGAGTAACTGATCATCATTATGACATCATCAAGGGAGTATGTTGAGGCCCAGTACCATGCCAACACCTTGCCTCACCATGCAAACACAATGCCTCACAGTCACAACAAAGCTAGACCTGATTCCGAAATATATGACAATGTCCCACCAGGATCTGGATATGAATTTCGCCCATCAAGCGTTACCCCAGGTCAAATGGCTGGATTTAGACAGGCTAGTATGTCCCCCACAAGGGTGCCTAACCGCTCGACTAGCACCCCACCCTACCGGACCCCTCAGGCTGACCCTACACAGGGATTAGTTTTCGAGAACCCTTGGACACAGCTTGAGACACACGCAGAACACAGACAGACAAGCAGATCTGAGACTAGGCGGGGTAATGTGAGCATGACACTACCTCTGAAACCTACAAACAACCCATACCAGTCTGTTAATGTGGCTCAATTACGGAGTATACGATCACCACCCCCAGGGGCACAAAGGAGGGTGATATCCCCACCCCCTATAGTAAACTCACATCAACCGTCACCAGAACTTGCATCACCGCAGCCTAGAATGGGCAGTACTGTACGCAATGCAGTATCCCCACCTCCGGTTGTCACCCACAGGCGTGTGATATCCCCACCACCACCTGTTGCGCCCAAACCTTTCAGCCCGCCCCCATATTCTGGAAATAAGATGAACACTTGGTCGCCTAACAAAGGTGGGAGGCAGCAAACTGATACCACAACTGAGACAAAGGTGACAAAAATGGAGCGTGTGGAGAAGAAAGAATGGATGGAGCTAAAGACGGGGAGCAGTGGTTATAACACCATACAGCCTCAGATACGGTCATCACCAGGTGAGTTCAATCATTAATTAATACACTTCAGTTATAGTGCAGAATGGGGTGGCTTGATTAATACATCTGGGATATCTAGTAGACGTTCTATATGTAAATGGTCTTGTTTCCAAAGATGAGTTGACTTTTAAAGGTAGTGCATTAACTCATAAAGTTAGAGAATACCTTGTATGATAAAATACTTATCTTGCACCTATGGCTTGTTTTAAGAAGGTTTGATCGTACATTCTTCCTATCTGATGTTCATGTAATATATTTCTGCCGGTTCTTTGTTTATTTCTTACCAACTACAATGTTTCATATTTAGTGCAGTCAGAATGAGGGTTTGAGCGTGCGTTCAGAGGGATTTTATGGGACATATTTTTTTATGTTGCTTGTATGATTTTACATATTTTTATGGATTATTAGATCTTAGTTTTTCAGCTTTTAGATTTTGTGGCCATTTTACCCCCCATGGGCTATAATTTGGACCCCTACTATAAAATTGGGCTAGAACTCCAAAAATACTCAGTAGAATGTTTCCAAATTGCTATGGTATATTGGTATAGGCTAACTAAATATATGATAACAATTTCAAGTCACATGGTTAAGTGGTTGCCATGTTAATGGATAAAACATACCATTCGGGTGTCAATTTTCAGGCCAATTTTTCAGGAATGAAAGAGTCATTTCGTGCATATTTTGTCACCAGTCTGTTAGGAAGGGTTAAAATGTGAATAGAAAACTTTTGTAATATGTCAGCAACAATCTTATGTAAAGATCAGTCCACAGAATCTCAGATTTTGGCCTTATATGGGTCCATGATTTATACAGGGGCCTGTTTCACAGATTCGAACCCCCACATTGGATGGATGCTATAACTTTTGAAATAAGGGAAATACAGTTCTCATTTTTTCAGATCTTCATAAATGACTGGTTTTAAGTATTGTATTATACTTTGGGCGCTGGCATATGATTGGTTGCCATGGTAACCTGGGTTTTAGGGAAATTCTGACCCCCACATTGGATGGATGCTATAACTTTCGAAATAAGGGTGATACATGTCTCATTTTTTCAGATCTTAGACAATGATTGATTTTAAGTATACAATCAGAAATTGGGAGCTGAAACTTGATTGGTTACCATGGTAACTAGGGTTTTATTGAAATTTGGACCTCCACAATTGATAAATGCTATAACTTTTAAATTCAAGCAGATACAGATATCAGCTTTTCAGAACTTAAAAAATAATACGACTTGTGTATTTTGTCAGACTTTGGAGGTTACAATTTACTTGGTTGCCATGGTAACCATGTTTCATTGTCATGGAAACTTCATTTTTGATTTTAGATTTACCTTCATTTGAGAATGGTCAATACACAACTTTGAACACAAAATTGCTCAAAATTATCATTTTACTCCTAATTTAGCATTTTTACATGTATATCTGACAGTATTGCCTCATTCCATTCTACTAGTTCTCACACATATTCTACTAAGTTGTTTTTACTCGTCATTTTAGCTATATTTGACCATTCTGGTATTAAGAATTCCTCGGGGAATTCATAGTTCATTCATGCAGTGTTTGGCTTGGTAGAGCTGGGTTTAGGCTGGTGGGAATGTTTCCATACACAGGTTTGATAATTCACCCTCTTCAAATGTGAAAGAGTTGAAATGTCAACACCTTCATAAGTGAGGGCAGCACTGTTCTGTTTTTGAGAATACTAGTATCTCATGTGAAACAGCTCATCATAGTGGCAGTTATTTTTGTAATTCAGCTGTACTTTTGCAGGTGAACAATTTAACTTTGGATTTTATGGTCTCAGGAATTTCTATATTGTTTCCTATTGAAGAAAACAACTTTAAGAATTGTTTGTAGAATAGATTATGATATGAGCTGGTTCACATGAGATATTCTCCAAAACAGAACAGTACTACCCTCTCTTATGAAGGTGTTGACATTTCAATTCTTCCTGTCTTTCAAGATTGGTCCTTGACTGCTTTCATAGCAGCTAATGTAATGCAATGAATTACTTTGGAGCCAATGATGAACTCTCCCACCTTTGAAGAGGGTGAATGACAAATCCTATATGTGGAAGTGGAAACATTCCCACCAGTCTCCCAGGGAGTTCACTTTATATAAACCTTGAGGGGATCCTTGGCTAAGGTGGGGTACTTCAGACATTTGGTATGGCAATAGACCTAAATTTTAGGATCTGACATAAGAAATGAGAATGTCCTCCAAATTATGACTTGAGGTATGGCAATGGTCAGATTTTTACACTTACTGGTATGAGAATGGTCTTGGAAAATATGTTACCCCTCACTTGTAGTATGGCATTGATCTAGTATATATCCTTAATATGAGGTATACGAGGTTGTTTTGGGGTTGTTTTCCTGAAAGATCTGCCTTCTTCTTGGGGCATTAGATCACATTGATCCTATATTTGGGCATTTGGTATGGCTTTTGGGCATTAATTTGGTTGGTATGGGAATACATTCAAATTTGACAGATTGGTATGGGAACATATTGATATCTGAGGGTTCAGCCTAGGACCCCAGCCAAATTTTATATACAGTGAATCCCCAGGGACCAATCTTAACCCATTCTGCCAAGCCCAATACTGCATGAATGTATGAAATCCCCTGAGGATCCTCCTCTCCAAAATGGTCAAAACAAGCCTTCATTCCAACAGAAACGGTTGATATTTAAATCAAAAGGCAATTGTGCAAAATGAAAAAGTAATGATGAGTACAAATGAACAAATTAGGAGTCAGAATATTTTTGAGAACTAGTGGTATGGAATGAGGCAATATTGTGAGACATAAATGTACATGTATTGTTGACTAGTATTTAATATTTTATGAGCCGAACAATTTTTGCATCTCTTGTATTAATGAGTCATGAGCATGTAAATCATATAAAATAGAAAAAATCCAAAAATTATGAATAAAATGGCAATTTGGTATTTCATATCATGTATTGACCTATCTAGAATGAAGGTGAATCTAAAAACAAAAACGACAGTTACCATGACAATGAAACATAGTGACCATGGCAACCAAGTAAATCCTAGCTTCCAAAGTCTAATACAATATACACATTTTATTATTATTTTAGATCTGAAAATATTATACTTGTATCTGCCTGTATTTAAAAGTTATAGCATGCATCAATTGTGGAGATCTGAATTTCAACAAAACCCTGGTTACCATGGTAACCAGTCTAATACAAGCTCCCAAAGTCTGAATCAATCCTTAAAATCAATCATTGTCTAAGACTTGAAAAAATGAGACACCTATATCCCTAATTTTAAAAATTGTAACATTCATCCAATTTTGGGGTCCGAATTATCATAAAACCCTGGTTACCATAGCAACCAATCACATAACAGCTCCCAAAGTATGATACAATACTTAAAACCAGTCATTTATGAAGATCTGAAAAAATGAGACCTGTATTTCCCTTATTTCAAAAGTTATAGCATCCATCCAATGTGGGGGTTCGAATCTGTGAAATAGGCCCCTGTATAAATCATGGACCCATATAAGGCCAAAATCTGAGATCCTGTGGACTAATCTTTATATAAGATTGTTGGTAATATATTATAGAAGTTTTCTATTCATATTTTAACCCTTCCTAACACAATGATGATAAAATATGCATGATATGACTCTATAATTTTTGAAAAAATGGCCTGAAAATCAACACCTGAAGGGTATGTTTTATCCGTTTTCATGGCAACCACTTCACCATGTGACTTGAAATTTTTATCATATATTCAGTTAGCCTATACAAATATATCTTAGTAATTTGGATACATTCTCCTGAGTATTTTTGGAGTTCTAGCCCAATTTTATAGTAGGGGTCCAAATTATAGCCCATGGGGGATAAAATGGCCACAAAATCTAAAAGCTGAAAAACTAAGGTCTAATAATCCATTAAAATATGTAAAATCATACTAGCAACATGAAAAATTATGTCCCATAAAATCCCTCTGAACGCACGCCCAAACCCTCATTCTGACTGCACTAATTGTGTTTGTTATTGAAATTCAATCTCCACTCTCATCAGGAGCAAATGTATTTTATTTTGAACTTGCAATTTCCAAACTTGCAAAGAACATTTGTGGAAATCATTAATAACATCTGCATAATATGTTATTTCCTAGATTTGACATGGATGGTTAATAAAAATTGTGAGGCATGAGATCGAGATGAATCAAGTTGTATTTTAATTTGATACTTGCCAGTAACTCCACAGTTATTTCCTGTGCTAAGATACATTAGCAGCATATACATATACATATACAGATGTAGAATATGCAGGGTGTCTATAAAGGCTCTTTACAATTGCAATCCAAACTATAGACGCTATGTACACCCTGTATATCTATGTGGTTAGGAGAGATGAGTAAAAATGTTTTGTCTGATGGAATTTTAGATGGCGTGTATATAGATTTTGTTATTATGCCAGTAGGTGCAATTATTCTTGGGTGGCTTTTTGGCCAATGAAATGTTTGCCTGGTGACTTTGGAGTTTTTGGCTCTGTTTTTTTTGTGATGAATAATTGTTATTGTTATTTGTTGCAATAATGAAAATGTTCAGTGTGACATATTCTACTCTTTGTGCTCTTGTGGATTGTATTCTTAATGGTGCCCTGATTTCCACATCCCAAAACAAAGGATAACTTAATGGTGCCCTGATTTACACATCCCTGAACAAAGGATAACTTAATAGTGCCCTGATTTACACATCCCTGAACAAAGGATAACTTAATAGTGCCCTGATTTACACATCCCTGAACAAAGGATAACTTAATAGTGCCCTGATTTACACATCCCTGAAGGATATCTTAAAAGTGCCCTTTTTACACATCCCTGATCTTAACAACATAACTCATTCTTCATTAGTCCCGGATGAAGAAAGGAAATAAATAAATGATGCATGTATCTCTGTGGTTTGATTCAGAAGACACGATTTACTACATGAATGACTTCATAAGAATGATACCACTGCAG